GAATCCCTGGCTGGAAATGTGCCGACGAGGACGTCGGGCCCCTAAGGAGGGTGGATTGTAACATCCCACATCAACCAGGGAAGTGGATCCTGTAAGCCTTATATGTATATTCCCATCTCTACCTAGCGCGAGGCCTTTGAGGAGCTCACTGGCTTCGGGTTCCATCGAAACTCCGAAGTTAAGCGAGTTCGCACAAGAGCAATCCCATGATGGGTGACCCACTGGGAAGTTCTCGTGTGAGTTCCCAGAAACAAAACCCTAAGGGCGTGGTTGGGGCCTAAAGCGGACAATATCGTGCTACGGTGAAGTCGAGCCCCGAATGTGATAGGGCCCGAGCCGGGATGTGACAGACCCACCGGTCTTCCTTCTTTATATTACACCAAAGATTCGATAGAGTTTTGGCCCGTATCATGGAAAACGACGGGAGAGGACCGAGAGCACCATGAACAGTGATCCACCGATCCCGCAACCATCACCGTCGACCACCACCCTCATTCAACTTTTATGGAGGTAAGGAACAAAGCCTAAACAAGTTTGGGGACAGTGAAGCTGCATGTTCAACGAATCAAAGCCCATTATTTCCAGGGTTTTTAGCAGGTTTAAATGAAATTAGGGCCTTCCTAGCCAAATTAGCCTTGGTCACAGGTATGAAACTTGTTCTACTCATCGAGATCTTCATTTTGGTAAAATTTGGTAATTTTTGGAATTAGTTAGATTTTTCGGCGAGTTGGGGCGGCGGCAGACGGGCCGAAACACGACATGCCCATCCTAGGCTAAATTTGATGCCGTGATTCCATACTTGACATCCATTTAGTAAAATTCAAATGTTTAACATTGTTTTGTAGTTGATCGCCTAGTTGGTCGCCATGGGTTATTATATGAATTGACGATCCAACCGTTGGATCATCACCAAACTTTAACAGGTTATTATTTGTAATATTTGATGACATTAGGAATTGATGGATTGGTAATACGACGTACTGATCGTCCTGAATTGGATTTCTAATTTTGTAAAATCAAATGTTGACCGCCACTTAATCTTAGCGATCGACGGAGATCCGACTGTTGGATCGTAATGAAATCTTAGTATGTTGTTCTAAAAGACCAATGAGAATCTTGGGAAGTTACGGATCAGGAATCTGATAAACGGATCTTCCGGTTTCGATTTCTAGGGTTGTGGACCCTACTCTCGACCTTGATCGACAGTTGGCTTTTTAGTCAACTAGCCCGAGTTCTTATAGCATGTCGCTGAGCTTAGAGTGTTATTAAGATTTCATAGAGCTTATTGAGCTCAGCATGATGATGTGTCTTCCTCGATTGACGTGTACCTTGATTTACGTACTGATGGCGTCACATTGTGCTATGCTTGTTTATTTTATGTGATTTGACTTGTGTATTGTGGTTGATTTGTATGTTTGGCCTGATATGATGAAATGTGAGGGCTAGTAGTGGACCATGAACCCATTGTCATGGGCTTTGTTGCTTCGAGACTTATTTCACATATCGTATCATTATTTCATTTCTCGTTTCATTGAGCCATTCTAATTATGTACCTTATGCTTTGTTCCATTTCTTGTTTCGTTGAGCTTTTGTATTTTGAGTACTTGTTTCATGCCTTGTTCTTCGAGCGTTGCTATATTCCTTGGATTTCCGCTCAGTTCCGTTGAGTGATCTGGAACTGGGTTTCCGCTAGGGTTCTGTTGAGTGGTCTGGTTTCCTGCTTTGTCTGGATTCCGTTGAGTGGTCCGGAATCCCTTGTGATCTACAATTCCGTTAAGTGGTCTACAATTGTATCCAGCTTAGATTTCATTGAGTGGTTCGATATGCATTGTACTCCGTAATTCCGTTGCGTGGTCCGGAATCGTATCCACTCGGATTCCGTTAAGAGGTCCGGAATCCTTTCTACTCCACGACTCCTTGAGTGGTTTGGAATCGTATCTTGGTTTGGATTCCATTAAGTGGTCCGGAATCCTCTTTGGTGTCCTGGTTCCGTTGAGTGGTTTAGAACCCGATGTTGATGGATTTCGTTGAGTGGTTCGAAATCGCATCATTTAACTTGTTGGTTCCTTGGATTTGATTTCAGCTTCAAAGATGTAGGCTTCGGTCAAACTGTGTCGCTCTAGCCCTGCATTTCGATGTATGGTATGTGTTATTGATTGACGTGATTGTGGAATGATGTTGGTTGTGATTGTTGTCATTGTGATTAGACTTGTTGACCAATATTGCTAGAGATTTATGTTGTGCTTCGTCAAATATTCTTCGAGATGTTGCATGCTTGTTGTGTGGTATTATGTTGAGACATAGTGATTTATGTGATAATTGTTCGAGTGTAGTGAAGGATGAACTACGAATGGCTTGATCCCTGTTTAGGGTACATAGGCAGTCTAACGGGGAGGTTAGATGTCATAAAGTGTACAAAAAATTACTACGCAGTTCGATCATGAGTTGTGCTTTGCACATATCCCAGAGGCTGGGTATGTTAGATATACATGTAATTGGTGACATCATGTGTCGATCCTGGACGTATGTCATGATCAGGGCATGACACAAACACTGGGTGCTGCACTAAACGCCACCCTTGCTTCGCTAAAAGAGCGAGATTGAATGCATGAAGATCCCGAAAGCCTAGTCCAGCCTTTTGCTTAGGCCTGCACATCTTATCCAAAGACATCCAATGAATTTTATAGGCATTGGGATCACTAGTCCACCAAAACCTAGCCATAAGTTGTTGGAGCTCCTCGCAAAAAGCTTTAGGGAGTAAAAAAGTCTACATGGCATAGGTCGGCAAAGCTTGTGTAACCACTTTAATAAGCAACTCTCGTCCCGCACCACTCAATAGCTTCCCTTTCCATCCATTCAACCGATTTGTAACCCTCTCCTTAATGAAAGAGAAAGTTTTCTTCTTGTTTTTACCAATAAAGGTCTGTAGGCCCAAATAATGATCATGACAATCCACTCGTTGTACTCCTAAGAATGAGGCAAGACGAACGTGCACAACTATTTCCACGTTAGAACTAAAAGCCACACTACTTTTATGGAAGTTTATCGCTCACCCCGACGCTTGGGAATAAATGTCCAATATATGTTGAACCACACCACAATCCTCCATGGTAGCACAAGTGAAGAAGAAATTGTCATCTGCAAATAAAAGGTGGTGCAGGCTCGATGCGGTATCATTAATATGGATCCCATGAAACACACCCTTCCTCTCATTTTGGGAAATTAGAGCCAATAAACCCTCCACACACAGCATGAAAAGATAAGGTGAGATGAGATCACCTTGTCTCAAACCCCTTAACGGCTCCAAATATCCTTTCGCCTCCCAATTAACCATGAAGAAATATGAGACAGACGTAACACAAATCATCACAACTCGGACCCAAGCCTCTGCAAAACCGAGCCGAAGCAACATGGCTTCCAAAAACCCCCATTCTACCCGATTGTAAGCCTTACTTAGATCCAACTTGAGAGCTAGAAAACCCTCACTACCCCTCCACCTATTATGCAAGAAATGGCCCACCTCAGCAACCAGCAGAGAGTAGTAAAAAATAAGTCTACCAAGAACAAAAGCACTATGGAAAGGAGAAATCATGGATGAGAGAATAGGCTTTAGTCGATTAGCAAGAACCTTGGCACATATTTTATACAAAACATTGCACAAACTGATCGGACGTAGCTGAGTCTCTTTCTAAATTAATTTACTAAAATTTTAAGTATAGTTATATAAATAAATTTACTTAAAGCTTATGGTACATTTGAAAATAAATGTATGGACTTTGGTACTTTTAGATTCTAAATGTACCAAGAAATAACATGTGCAAGAAATCCAATTGTACCATAAAACCAAAGAAAAACTAATGACAATGGCTTGAAAACTTTGAGTTTTAATAATAAGAACAAAATAAAGGGTAAAGTGAAGGGTAGCAGGATTGACTTTTTAGTGTAAAAATATGGTTTTTCGTTAAAGTGAACAGTAACGGGAGCTTTTCGTCAAAGTTCCCTAAAACCAAATGTACCAATATTATAAATAATCAAATACCTCCAATAAAATTGTAGAAGAAAATATTTAATCAAATTCTTAAAGGAACAGATAGTTAAGCAACGAAAATTTTAAAACGCACTAATGTTTTTGCCAAAAAAAAAAGGAAAAAAAAGGCACTAATGTCTAATAAAAAAAATGCGAAAGATGAGAGAAATTCTAATTTCCTCTTGAGAGAATCTTTGTAAATGTTCTAGCTCTTGTTAAAACGCATACACATAATGCACAGGCCTACCTGGTGAAAAGATATGAGCCTCTTTACCCACCAACAAACTCATATTAGTATGTTACAAACCTTTGGGCTCTGACAAAGAAACCTTTTGAGCCTCTAATTTTGGGTAAGGCCATTGAAGCCCGTTATTTGCTTATATTTATGAGCCATTCTTTAATTATTTATATTAATTTAATACGTCATAAAGTTTTAATTTTATTTTTTATTTTGCACCATAATATATTGGAATAGTGTTAATTCATACCTTTGGTAGAATCGATAGTTTTGATTCTTGATGATGTGAGATCCATATACAGACTAACGTGTAAGTCACATTTGCATCACATTGACAAAAAATTCATCAATTTAATAATAATTAAACATTCAAAGATACAAAATATATATATGTATATATAAATTAAAACGTCACGATGAAATATGATAAAATTAGAACCTCATATTCCATTCAGAAAATCACCTCAAACATAAATATTGAAAAATGTAGTTAGCCCTTGATCTTATTACGTTAGCATATTATGTTAGTACTATGTACTCTTCATAAAACCGAACTGATGTGGTGGCATTTCATTTGGCTGTACTTGGGTTTATAACGAAACAAGTTACAAGAATAAGCAACGATTATGTTATGTGCTACATCAGTTGATATAAAACGTTTGAGATGATAGTTGGTGCCCGTAAGAGTCTACTCTATAAAAAACATTGTCTTTACCCTAAACCAGTTAGCAAACATAATGAAGAACACAGATGCTATTCAACATTAGCCATTACAAATTTCAACCTGAGGGAAAGCAGGGATCATATGGTGAGAATAGTGCAAAAAACAAGTGTTACAGAAGAGAAACAAACGGCCGGAAACACTCTTCTTCTACCCTTCCACCAGAATGCCAGCAACCTAAGAACATGCCGGTCCCCGTTGAATTCATCATCTTCAAACAACCAATAATTCAACTACACAACACATATGATACATCCAACCCATTAAGCTAATGGATTTCCTAACAGTAATCGTCTCCACAAAAACATACAATCCCCATCCGAGACCATTTTCAGCACCATAACCAATTCCGGATGAACAGTCAGCTTTCGCATTCTCTGTTTTCTTCTCTTAACATTGCAGTCTGATGCGATCAAGGCTCTCGGAGACAGTTTTCATCCTAGGACGCAGTTCGGGGTCGAGCTCAGTGCAATTAAGGGCAATGTGAAAGGCTTCAACAACTTGCTTCTTTGCATGAACTTCTTGCACAAGTACAGGGTCTATGATCTCAGAAAGGGGGCGCTCATCTCTGAATGTCTTCCTGACCAGACTCTCGAGTCCCTCGCCACCATTTTCGAGCCCCTCATCTGGCAACCTACCGGTCAAGATCTCCATGAGCACAACTCCGAAGGAGTACACATCACATTTCTGAGTGAACTTGCTGCCAGAAACTCGGGCCTCGGGCGCCAAGTAAATGGTTGAAGAACTTGGACCAGCCACACCAGAAGCCACAATGGATTGATTCAAGTTCTGCTTTCTCGACGCTGAAGTGGAGAACTTTGAGGTACCCAACATAAGACGTGCCAATCCGAACCCGGATATGTAAGGTTGGAGATCATCGTTGAGAAGGATCTTTGTCGATTTAATGCTTCCATGAACATACTTTCGAGGGCTGTGTTCATGTATGTACACCAAACCCCTTGCGATCCCCTGAGCAATTTTTAACCTTGCCGTCCATGGCAATGGCGGCAAAGAGTCGGTTAATTTACCGTGGAGTGCATTGTACAAGCTGCCATTGCGAATGAAATCAGTAACCAGAAGTTTCTCATCATTCGCATAGTAATATGCTCTCAGGCGGACGATATTGGGGTGGACCACCTTCCCCATCGCCTCCGCCTCAGCCTCAAACTCCTTGAACCGCCACGCGGCGTCACCCTCGCTCAGCCTTCTCACGGCGACAACCGACGGCGCCGCACCAGATCCCTTCCCGCCATTCCCGGCGACCACTCTGTACGTAATCCCACTCCTGCTCTTCCCCACCACGTACGCCGATGCCCTCAGCAAATCCTCCAATTCCAACTCGAACCCCTCGTCCACCACAACGAATGTACCATTTTGCCCTTCCCCCTCATTCTCCACCACGACAGCCACCTCCTTTACCACTTTCTCTTTTCCCGTTTTGCCCTCCTTCGCCCTGCTTTTTACGCGAAGCAGCCACACCGATACCGACACGGCCCCAACCACCACCGAAACGCCCGAAATTATCGGAACCGTCACTGACACGCCGCTCCGATTTTCTCGCTGCTCTGCCCTCCGTACCAAACTCGGATCCGGGTTGAGAGGCTTTTGAACATCCTCACCCCCGCTTTTCGGGGAATCAGGGTTTTGAGCTTCCGGGCACGGAATATCCAACGGAATCCCGCAGAGGCTAGGGTTTTCGGAAAACGCGGTGGGGCCCTGGTTCGCCAGCGATCCCACCTGAGGCACTTTTCCGGTGAGGTTGTTGTGCCGGAGGTCCAGGCTCACGAGCACCGGAATCCGCCCGTACGAAGCCGGAACACCGCCGGAGAATTTGTTGTACGAGAGGTTCAGGGTTCCGGCGAGGGAGGGAAGCTCGGCGAGAGACTCGGGGAGAAAGCCGTTGAGGAGATTGGAAGACAGGTCGAGGTGGTTCAGGGCCTTGAGTGATCGGATTTGGTCCGGGATTGGACCCACGAGAGAGTTGTTGGAGAGGTCGAGAGAAATGAGGGCAGCGGCGTTGAAGAGGTGGGCCGGGATGGGCATGGAGAAGTTGTTGTTTGAAAGATTGAGTCGCTTGAGCGAGTCGAGGTGGCCAAGTTCGGAGGGAATGTAGCCGGTGAGGCGTTTGTTGGTGAGGAGGAGGTCGGTGACTCGGTTGCCGGTGCAGGCGACGCCGTGCCAGTGGCAGGGGGTGGGATCGGATTCCGACCAGGAGTCGAGGATCCGGGTCGGGTCGGTTTCGATTGCGGATTTGAGTGCGAGGAGGGAGAGTCCATCTTGGTTGAGACAGTGCACGACTACAGGAACCAGAAGTAGAGCAATTTGCAGGAAAAAAAGAATCATTTTTTTTGTGTTTGAAGTTTTGGGAAATTTGACAATGCCTCTCTCTCTCTCTCTCTCTCCCTTTCTTTCTCTCTCTACTGGTTCATATGGAGTTGCAGAGAGACTGGAGGAAGAAGGGGTTTTGCAGTTCTGAGTTTAAAATTGTGGAGAATTGTGTTATTCGAGGGAAGGTTTGAATTTTGCTGACCAGTGTAGCACTAATGAGTAGTTAGCTGCAAATCCCCAATGTTTAGCATTTATTTATTTATTTTTTGAGTAATGTTATTCATACTATTTTTTTGTACCATCTTAGTATTTGATGATAATAGCCACATTATTTGAATTAATCAAATTTTTAAATTTAGTTCATTATTTAATAAACTAAAAATTAAGAAAAACTAATTAATTAAATGATGATTGTGGTATATAAAGAGCATTTCTCCTTCATTTCCTTGGGTTGTGTAAATTTTTCAAAAATGATGTAGTTGTCCATATCAGATGTCACCTAAAATGGTATAGAAATGTAGTATATAAAAATATGGTATGAATAGCATTACTCTTTCAAAATATTTGGTGTTTGTTCCTTTGGAAAATTAAGAACAAACTAAAACGTGATTAAAGTTTGTTAATTTCAAACAAAACAAGCAAAAGAAGGGGGAATGAGAAGATTTGTGAATTTTGAGGCTGGATATACAACTAATCCCTTATATTAGCTTAATTATTTTCAAGACGACAAGATTAGGTTAACCTGTTTGTTCCCACGTTGTGCTCAAATTCAAATTCAAGGGTTATAAAGGTCAAGTGACATTTAGAGCGTTATTTATTTATAAGTAGGATTGGTTTTATGATTCGTAGAACGTCATTGTACACGTTTTGCGGCAAATTGTTCATTAAATTTAGACATTCTATGTTTTTTTTTTTTTTAAGTTTCTTTCAAAATATTTCTGGAACGACCTCTACTTTTTTTACCCTTAACCTCTATCTCTTAACCAGAACATGTATAAATCTTCGTTACAGATATTCAAACTATCTTAACAAATTCTTTAACATTATCCTAAAAGTTTTATCCAAAAAAGTGTCTGTGTAGGGACTGTATTGTAATTTAGTAATGGGTGTCAGAAGATCGTTTGACAATGACATTATTTACACATGCAGACAATGCTTGTTACACTTTTCAGTTTCCACTAACTAAGCAACCCGGGGTATTTATGTCAATTCATTCTAAAATTTTGAGATTCAAAATATTAGTGGGATACCGGTCAAGAGAATCCGAGTTCAAGCTCTCCCTCGTCTGTACTGTTTTCTCTTGTGAACTACTATCCGGTGACACGTGTTGTGATCTCAACACCTCCAATTTTTCTTCAATAATCCTGTCGAGTCGGTAGTACACAATATAAAATGTCAGTATTAAATTGAAGAAATATTATTTTAATTATTTGTCAATTTAATAGATGTCAAGCCGAACTTTCGAGTAGTCCGGACAATTAAATACTTACATCAACACCGTCAGGAGAATACTACTCCAAAGAGCTTTATGTAGGCATTTAATAAAATTTCACCGTTTTTCTTTTAACAACGCTTATACAAAAACACTCATAAATTGAAAAAAATTCCACATACAGATACAAAGATATGAGTACGATGCGTTGGGCCATAACCCGACCCAACAACTGAGGAAAAACAAAAATTTCGGTTTTGTGTTACCCGAGCCCATCCAAACCCCCAAAATCCCAACCCGACCCAATATTGTATTTCGGCTTCATCCTTTGCTACACCTACAAAAACAATAAAACAGAGAGCTTTCTTTTCAAGTTCCTGGTTTCAGGATCAAGGTATGAACGATCGAATTTCGGTCACATTTGACCGGATTGTGCTGGCCTGAATCGACTCGAGTTAACCTCCATGTCCGGCCATGTCGTACTAGTCTGTTCGGAGTAATCCTTTCATTGTTGTGTGCATGGTGCAGCCAGAACTCAAGAAGAGATTTAAACTGACGGCAATACTCGGCGGAGAAATCTTTACCAGCAGATATTTTTACAACTCCAGATTCATCAGATTGTTTCGACATCCACACATGATAAAGTAAACCAAAACCAAAACTGAATATCTTACAATCCCCTAAAGCATGTGTTGGGAATCATTGATCAACAGGTCTAGCAACTCTGAAGGGAACCATGAAACTATAGGTATTTTGTTTGTCCATGAAAAATGTCGTACCAAAGTTGAAAAACCATACTCAACCCTCCATCTGTAAATCAGCAAAAAAATCATTTGAACTTCCCGAAACACGATCTTTGCTTGCATTTTTCTTCTTTGTACCTGCAAAAGACGGTCATATCAGTTAAATACAACACAGAAGAATGTTTTCCGGTTACATGATTATTGTGCTTGGTTTTGGAGTCAAACGAAATTCTCTATTTCTCTTTTATCAAATAAACCTACCTTTGTTAGACTTCGGAGGATTCATATCCATATCCATATCGTCACTATCGCTGTCCTCCGCAGCTGCTTGAGGCCTTGATGTATTTGTAGAACCTTGCAATAATTCATTCATATCCCATAGCTGCATTAAACGATTGTCAATAGTAAATTCAAAAACCCAATAAAATCATCACTAGAAAATAGTTTGGAAACTGTTTACCTCTAAGAGAAGTGATATTTGCATACAAAGTTAGAACTTCATAAACTAGAATGTAAGCGTGAATTGAGATTGCATCACAGAACCATAAGCGTGACGGGTTACAAAAAGCATTTTCCAGAATAGACAATAGTATATTGAGCACAGAGAGAGAGAGAGAGAGAGAGAGAGAGAGAGAGAGACACCTTCAACATCTGATCATGTGCTATACTGCCCAGAAACTTTTTATCATAGGAAAAAGCTACAAAACCAAAAAAGACAGATTGTTAACCAAACATGGCCCAGGAGATAACTTGCAGATTAATGAGGCCTAAAAGGCCAGAGTATAAAAGTGAAGAGTTACATATAATAAACAAATAAGAAAATTTGATTTTAGGTTGATGATAAAGATTCAACAATGAGACCATATTGAACTCATGATCAATGAGTTCGCTGCCATAATGTAGTTTCTATGAATTATAAACTGATATGTATCCTCAACCTTCCTCAAGACAACAATAAAAGTGGAAAAATGAAACACATTTTGATTACTCAACCCTCCAGATAAGAAAATAATGCATTACCGAGACCCTCAACCGGATAGTCTGAGTGTTCTGCAATAGGTTGGATGACTCTGTTGGGTAATATACCTACTAGGCTGAAACAAATTTGTGTGAAATCAATCTTAATGATAGAAAGGTTGAAGAACAGTTGAAATATTATGAATCAATTCTGCATGCAGTTTCACCTGATAAGTCCAGTTTCTGATCCAGTGATCAACCTATCTTCATCAAGCTGACACAAGAAAATTCAAAATGCTTCAACAAAAAACGGTTGTGCAAATATCAAAAGCCAACATATGTAAAACAGATATATGACCAACTCACCTTCACCAAAACATCCACAGAATTCGGAGAAAGATCAACAAATCGATCGCTGCAATTCGAAGAGTCATCCAGAAGAGAAAATCAGAAGTGGGAGGGAGAGAGGAGCAACAGAATTGAAAGTCTTTCTTTCATGCTTGTAGACAATATCTCTTACAGTCAAGTACAATTTTCAATTTTTCACAAATGATTAGAAACTAAAATATAATATACCTGCAATCCTTGAAACAGCCCCATGAATACAATAATAGATTCCCAATGTGTGAGCTGCAAACAACTTTCCGACCATTCTGATCAAACCAAAAGCATGAAAGGTTAGGAATAACAGCAAAGAAAAGAAAGAGGGAAAGTTACATAATTTGATGAAATCTTAAAATCACTGGAAGAAATTCAAGGGGAAAGGAGAAAGCGGTGAACCTTCATGATAACCACAGACAGTAGCTCCTCTTCTGAAAATTCAGATTGAGCTTGAACCTGTAATAACCATAGAACCAAATTTGGAAATCTTTTAGTAAATCCACTATGAGCATTGAGCATGTATTTTATGGAATTTTAGAAAGGAAAAAATCTTACTTTATTTCTTCGAAGATTGCAAACAGAAAGAGTCCCATCTCCACTTAACAATGCAAAAGAAGAAATATAAATAAACAACTCTTGAGGGTATGTCATTTGCCGCAAAAGTAAGGAATACAATAAAAAAAAAAAAAAAGAAAGGGAATGCAGGACTACCTAGTTCCTAGGAGTTTCATGGAATCAGCTGCAAAAGTCATATCGGAAATGTACTCTTCATGAGCTTTAAAAGTATTGCAGCAAGATTGTTGCCTGGTGTCCCACACCTGAGCAATAAGCAATGTCAAACAAATGATAAAACCAACGAAAACAACAGTAAATGAAGCACAAGCAACATAAAATGACCTTAATACAGCCTTCGTCATCTCCAGAGGCCACTGTGGACTCGGTCAAATTGATAAGCTTATTGACCTGCAGACCTGCATCAGATTAAGGTAATGTTTAGGATATGGCCAAAATAAGAATTCCTGAGACTAGTTACAGAGCAAAGTGAGAAATAGAGACCCATGAGCCTCGTCGAGTCGAGCAATAGAAGCACCAGTTTCCACATCCGTAGCAAGAATTGAGCAGTCAGGAGATCCCGTCAAAATGGCTAACATTATCGTCCATGAGTAGCTTCTTATTAGCACAACTAATTACGGTATGGCAACAATATCAAATAACTAAAAAAAATCAATAAAACCTTGCCCATTGTTGATGAATCGAACAGCTCTGCAAGATTCACTGTGTGCATGAACTTCCAACACCCTAATATCATATTCATCTTAGTCATCACCACAAGTAATATATAAGAATACAAAAGACTAATTAAGAAAAAAGGACAGAGGAACTTAAAAAGTATTGACCTTTGAGGAATGGAATCAGATGCATATCGGTACAAGTGAAGATCGCCGTTGATAAGACCAGTAGTGACCAACTGCTGCGATGGATGAAAATCAATGTCAAACGCCAAGTGCCCCAAATTTATCTCCATTCCTTTATTACTTTCCTCTTTCTTTCTCACTATACACAACGAACGATCGGTGCCTACTTCTCACAAGCAAATATGTTCGTAGGCCCGTAGAATGTTGTAGTTTGTACTCTATGGTTTTCTCAATTCAATCCAGAATCCACTCCAATCTTTGAACTAGATGATTGCTTGTCTACTAGGAAAAAAGAAAACATAATGCATACATTACAAGTTGTCGTCTAAACCAACCCGAATAGCAATATGCACAATTAACCACAAAACTGACACAAATTCAACTAGAATATGTGTAAACTCAAACACAACAAAATTTCTAAAATCCAAAATAATCAAATAAACTGAGAGTAATCATTTCAACAAACAGCTCAAACTATAAAAAGTAATACAATTTCATATCCAACTAATTGGGCCTCAAATTTATGCAAAAGATGTCAAAGTTTTCATATTAATAATGGTAATCACAGAAAATCGAGAAAAAGATTACTGCCGAGCAAGATGAAGTATAAATTACAGTGAAAAATGAGACTGAGAGAATGAGGGAAGGCTGTGGTGGTGGTGGGGTGACGAGACCGACGGAGAGAGAGAATAATGAGGAGGAGGAGGAGAAGGAGGAAGAGGTGCAGCGGCAGCCAACAGAGGAAGAGGCGGAGGGGTTTTGAGGGGACTTAGCGAAGGTACACAACGGAATCACTGTTTATTTTTCGCTGGTATCCGTTTGGGTTTAATGATTTGAAGGCCCACGTTCGATTCCAATTCAATATTTTGACGGCCCACATCTATTTTTCTTTTGGTAAAGGCCCGCATCTACTTTGAAATACACTATATTTTCAAAATTAAACTACATAGGCTGCAATTTTACTTTAATTGTGCATGGCAATGACTGATATAGCAAATGAATGGATAAGATTGAAAATAAAATATTTAACAGTTGGAAAAATTAAATCCAACCTGCTAAAACGCATTGCAGCACCAAGTGCTACGTAGTATTAAGGCCACACACCCCATAGATGGATTGATTTCATGTTAAAATAATTGTTTCAAAAACAAAACTCCACTAACACGTTGGTATACGATAACTTCACGCTTTAGGCATGAGTTTTTCAATTTTGACCTTTCAAATGGTTAAAACATGCAATTTTGGTGTGCATACAGCTAAAAAAGAAGTGTGAAAACTGCCACTCATTCTTTTTTACGCCTCGGATTAACTTTTTGGTGAACTGAAGTTTCTACTAAAAGCGGTTTCAATTAAAGAAAGGGATATGATATCCACACACTTTTTTTTACTTCTCACACACCCTTCTAATTTTCAGCCGTCAGATCGGATGAATTAAAAAAGATCAACGAACAAATATTAACAAAAGGTGTGTGAGAAGTAAAATGAGATGTGTGGATAGCACACCCCTAAAGAAATTCTGATGTCCTCCATACTGAAGTAGCCAAGACATTCCGTTAAACAACATTAAAAACCAAGTAAAAATGACTTCAAGTACAATATAAGATGCACACGTACATCATAATGCTATTGAGTTGGACATTATTCCTTTAAGGATGTTGGTTGTTCGTCCTACTTTCTGTCAAATACATATACTAAAGCCTCGATCTACCTCCGCTCTTTCCGGGCATCTGCAACGCGTCATAATGGCCAAAGCCGTGGTAGAGAACTCTGATCGGGTTGTCCGTGCCGTATTCTTGCCCGTACTCGGCAATGGTTATCAAGCCACCAGCCTTCTCATCGTACATGTATACTGTTATTGGCATCCTACAGTAACCAATGGATTCATCATTCCAATGTCCAACAATACTGATGTGCTTCTGTAACTATACTGGCGAGTGTGAAAACGCAGAGAGAGGACTTACTGAAGAACATGTGAAGCCATGAACAATTCAGGCTCACCTCCCCATACATGTGGCTTTCTTATTTGGGAAACGTAAGTGTCAAAATTTCCTTCAACAAACCTGTCACATTGTACATACATGTAAATTATGCTGGTGTTGGTTATCCATATGCCTTCACCGCAAAGGCATCATGCACTCGGAACCTGTTTTCACTTTTTGCTTCATATATTGGCGCCTTACCAATAGGGAGAAAAAGAAGGGTGGTTCAAATAGAGAAGAAAGGGAATGAGAAAGATTGGGGAAGGAAGAAGAACAATAGGGAGATCTAGGATTTCAGTAATCCGTTGTCTAAAAGAGTTGCATCTTCGCTTGATTATACAAGTCAACCCAAAATCTACTCGCTCTCCCTAATTACATCAAACTCCCCCAATCAAATCCCTAAAGTTGTGATTTCTCCCTCAGATATTAACCTCCGCATATTTGTATATAGAAATATGACATGCAATTCTTCTAGGATAGTAAAAGATGGATAGCATATATGTCATGCAGAAGGGAAATGTAATAGAGCACACGAGTTGTCAAAACATTAGTTAAGCTCACAATTAGAAAACTCACCATTCGGTTTCTTCCCTCCTTTTGATAAATTCATCCGCAACCTACAAATTTAACATATCAACGCATCAATGACATTAAAATATCCATGGGCAAAAGTAGATAATTCATTATCAAGATTCTTTCATTATTTTCTGGATTTATGGGCTTTGGCTTAGGAGGTGCATGGAACGGACTGGAAAAGGTACAAAGACATACTCTAGCTCTCAAGCTATCCGCTAATTCTCTCTGAAGGCTCTCACTGGGAGCTGATTTTCCAGCTCGTAAATGAGCCCCATGAGCAACTGAACGGAATAAGCACCTCCCGTCGCCAGGTATTCCTGTGCCATATAGAGAATACAGTATTCATCTGTCGTAAAAAGACATTATGAAAACTAAGAAGGATCCCTACTCACCAATGATAGAATAGTCAGTGTAAACCTTTTTCCCATGAGAAAATTTTACATATGACGAATCACTGTCCTCTTCCTTATTGTCCTTGTGAGCTGCTTGAGCATGCGCTGATTCAGAACAATTACAGACCAACAACCCAAATAATAAGCCAGAAGAGGCGCATCTTTGTGGGCAAGATACACGGCGCACATTACACTTGATTTTGGGAAGCATTCCTTGTCCTGAAACCAAAAGCCTGGTTTTCATACCGTGACAGGCAAATGAAATGTCAAAACATCGCTTATGAGGCCCTCCAGCATTAACTGTTAATGACTGTGAGTTGCCTATTTCCTTGGAGAAGAAAGATTTGAAGCAGCTTGTATACGATGTTTGGCCAATACTGGATGGACGAGTCTTGGGGTTAGAAAAACGGACAAACTTTGTTCCTGACTTCCCCGTCTGCAGGGCGTAACAACATGAACTTGATGCTCCTCGTGACACCACACTAAAGATATTACTGCCCATCTGCATTAGGGTACAGTCACTCCGGCAGACAGCAGTCTTCGAATAATGGTTAATGGGATGACAAACAATTGCGTTCGCATAGCCTAAGGCAAAAGAAGAATGTGATTTACTCGTTAGTATCATTATGTAACGAAATGGAAACCTATCCATCTAAAGAAGCGCGACTTTGCAATTGAAATCAATCTAGAGAGGGAGATGAGATCGTGAAAGTTAAAAAGTATTAGTAACATTGGAAACACAACATGCAGAACTTCTTGCATGATAGTTTATCCCTGCACGGTCAAGTTATCTTCATATGTTATGAAAAGCGTAGCGCCAACTTCTAACACAATATAAATTTTAGTACTGTACTGCACCATTCCCTTTACTTAATAGACAAAGCATAAAAGGTCTGCCTGGTCGATCTTTTTAAGCCTTTTTTATTGTTCCAACAAGAAAATCCTTTTTTATTGGTCGAACGAGAATAAGGATCTTGGCCAGATCAGTACCCCACTTAGCATTTGGTTTTCGTGAAAAGCAGAAGACCGAGCTGAATATTACACTGAATCGGAGATCTGTTGACTAAGTTATCAAACCGATCTTCAAAATCTCATTACGATTCGGTTTGTCAACCCCAAAAACATAAGCAAATGGCAAGTAAGAAGGAATACACAGATCAAAAGGAAGGGACATCAAAGCTATGTAAACCATCACATTACCTTGGTAATCGAGATTTAACTTCATGCCATCTCACATCAACGGAGATCCTCCCTACCAGTTAAACCCGCGTTACAGAAACACATGGCAAAGGATTTTCATACATGAATTAAGTCAGTAAACTATAAAATGTCAACATTCAATGAGACATTCGGATGAAAAATATACAACAGATTATAAATTTAACATTTTTATACCATCAATTAGAATCCATTGCTCATCGCAACATTTATACCTCTGCTCTACCAACACAAATATTTTTTTAATATTCAATTACTGAAATAAAATAGAAATCAGGGTTGTAATATCTGAGACCAACCAATCCAACAACGAACAAGTATTATGAAACTCTTTAACATTTGAAATTAACACACTCAATCCAACAACAACAATAAAAAAACCCAACAATTCAAATTTTCATATAAGATTCTAATTCTAATTCCAATTCCTTAGGTTTAAATTATAAGGATTATAGAAACTGGAAAAAAAAAATACCTGCTGGGATTGCAAATCAATAAAATAAAGAGGGAAACTATTTAAGAGAAAAGCTTGTATATAAAGGAGAGGAGGTTAATAAGTAAATGGATAATTCCGGAGAATTCCAGAAGGGAGAGAAAGAAGGATCTGGAAGTGGAAGGAAGAAAGGAATACCTGCAAATTGCAATGCATCAATCAAACAAAAGGCATTACTCAATTAACAAGCAATGGATATATGAAGACATGGTAATTCGTAAGCTTGTAGCAATTTTTGTGTCGGAGCCGGTGGCTTCTGGTTGCTACTTGTCAGCTGTCACTTCTCAGTTGCGTTTTTGCTGTGTTTACGGATGACAGGGTCGACCGGACTTGGGCTTATGATTTTTCATATGGGCTTTACTTCACAGGTTTGATTTCTAATTTTATCCAGCTTTGTTTTTTTAAGCATCAAAAGACAATAATATACGGTTGAGATTTAATTAACTAAGCGTTCTTTTGTGAAAAATAACTAATTAACATAACTCACGTTTTTTGTCAAAAGTAAAAGGAAAATTTTATTCGAATACATCACTTGTATCTCTACACCAACGCAAGCTGGAAGAAATGTGAAGGCAAGTTTATCCAAAATTTTGATGATTATTCATCCATTTTTTGGAGTTGGAGAGGATTGGTGGAACACATTTTGGTTGTTATATTGTGAATTTCAGAAATGATAGCATTTTTCTCACTGTCCATTTTTCATTTGGGCTTTAGATTTTAGTCTTTCGGTTCAGATTTCTGACAAAACACCAAAATAGTCACACACAAAAAGGAATTCATGACAAAGTCTCAAGAATACTCCACAACTAAACTAAACGAGGCTGCTTATTTCCCTACATGAGACTCGTTCCAATGCATCTACTTGAATGAATCAATGAAGAACCGATTACAGAAACACTAAAAGAATTATTGGGTATATTGCGGTTTTACCCCTTGAACTATTATCTCAATTAAAATTGACACCCTAAACTACTTGAAACCAGCCAACCAATTAACCCTTTACTATTAGATTAAGTTCACTATTTCGTAGTACTAAATGACAATTTGGTGTTAAGATGCATAGTTATTCTTTATCAATATTATCGGTATAAAGTGTATTTAAGTGAAAGACATTTTCGATCAATCGTGCA